GAAGGCTGCCCCAGTTAATACCTAGTCATCACAAAAAGAAAACATCAAAGGAAGAACACATCACCGGGACAAATAGAAAAGCCTCTAAATCAGGCCTTGAAAACTGGGAGACCTTCCAGTACCACCAAGCTGCCAAATGAAGTCTATTTATCTCTGCTTCTCACAATTATCCCTATCAGCTTTGATAAACACCATGCTGACAGCGATTAAAATGGTAGTATATTCTCTCCTTATAATCTCAGTTTTTGGGCCAAGTACACAACTCTCATGTTCTAATTTTTGTTGGGTATAGAAATTCTAGGCCTCCTCCTTTCATGTCTTCTAGAGCTCAAGAAAGGGGTGGGGAACCTGCAGCCTCGAAGCCACATGTGGCCCTGTAGGTCCTCAAGTGCAGCCCTCTGAGTGAATCCAAACTTCACAGAACAAATCCCCTTAATAAAAGGATCTGTTCTGTAAAACTATTGCTCTGTAGGAAATGATGAGATGGCTTCAGAAAACCTGGGAAGACCTATATGAACCGTTACAAAGTGAAGGGAGCAGAACGAGGCGCACGTTGTACACAGGAACAGCAATGTTGTGATGATAATCAACTGTGAAAGACTTAACTCTTGTGATCAATACAATGATCCACAAAAATTCCAAAGGACAAATGATAAAAAAAAAATGCTATCCACCCAATGGACTCTGAGCATAGATTGAAACATTATTTTTTTTTCCTTTTCAACAAGGCTAATGTAGAAATGTTTTGAATGACTTCATATGTGTGTGTGTGTGTATGTGTGTGTATGCGTGTGTGTGTGTGTAAAATGGGTATTGTATTTCTTGACTTCTTGATGGGTAGGGGAGAGGAGATGGAGAGAGGGGGACAGAATTTTAAACTATAAATTTTTTTTTTTTAAAAAAGGATGATTCTTACTCTTTTAGATTTCTAGTTTAAGATGGCCTTATGAAAAATTATAGAGAAACTCAACTCCCTAACATAGACTCTAGCAAACATCTGAATACAGCTCCAAAAAAGATCAACCATAGAGAAATGTGAAAAGACACAGAAAGAAGTAAGCTACTCCATCCAGTCTGGAGCTATACTGGAAAGGGAAGCTGACAGAGGGGTTGAATTAAGGAAGTCTGTGCCAGCTCAGCTAAACCACCAGTAGAGGAAGGAAGAGCACAAGGGGAAATCATGCATACTCCAAAAAGCAGGCTGGAAGCCAACAGAGGCAGAAAGGAGGCAAGCTATCCCAAACGCCCTCAAACAAAAAAGCCCCCGCTCCAGTAATCAAGGGGCTGAAGCCAGATCCCATGTCAGAAGCAGGGGAGGGAATCAGACACCTTGGGTCACTATACAAGAATACAGGACCCATCTATACAGTCAAAGAAATGGAAGGAGGCACGGCCAGTTCAACACATGAGTTCCAATAGGAATGGCTGCATAAGAGGCGTAAGACCTGTCATCTTCAACATCCCACTGGGGCCAACACTCAAATGAGGACTGTGCGAAAAGGGGAAAGAGACGAGCCATGTCCTGAAACCATAGGGGCAGTGGGAGACTGAGAAAGGAGCCAGGAATTTAAGTAGAGAGTGGAGTCTAATGCTACCATTAGATTATAAAAACTCCTTGAGGGCACAGACTGTCTTCTGCCTTTCTTTGTACCCCCAGGCACAGTTCCTGACATGCAGCAGGCACTCCATAAATGTTTACTGACTGACTGAAAACTACTTCATCCAGACTGGCAAAGGCAGTGGCCCTCTTACAGAAGGGATGAAACCAAACAAAGCCTATCCTGTTGCAGAGGGGATTTTCCTGAACACAAAATCTCCAACCAAGAACCGAGGCTGAAAATATGAAATAAAAGATTAACATAATTAAGAAATATTATGGCTTAAAGGAAGTCCGAGAGATAAACCCAGGATAATTGAGTAACCCCACCACAAGGAGACTTAGGACAAAATGGCCATAAGAACTACAAGAGTATGTGGATGAAATGAAGAAAGAGATAAAAAAATGAAATGAGAACTTTGGGAGGAAAAAAGTGAAAGGGAAATAGGTTAGAAACTAGGTTAGAAGCTGGGGCAACTAAGTGGCACAATGGATAGAGCACTGGCCCTGGGGTCAAGAGGACCCGAGTTCAAATCTGGCCTCAAACACTTACTACCTGTGTGATCCTCGGCAAGTCACAGCCCCCGATTGCCTCCGAAAAGAAAACAGGTTAAAAGAAAATAGTCTAGAAGTTAGGAGAAACATACTTTAGCTTGTGCAATGGACAGAACCCTGGGGCCTGCAGTTAGGAAGACCTGAGTTCAAGCCCAGCTTCAGACACTTACTACCTGTGCAATCCTGGGCCAGTAACTTAACCTCAGTTTCCTCAGCACCTCCCTCTCAGAGTTGTTGTGAGGATGAAATGGGATAATGAGTGTAAAGCACTTACTTACACATCATAAGTGCTATATAAATGTTAGCTATTATTATTATCCAAGCTGCAGATTCCTTTAAAAACCGAAATGAAGCAAACATAACATGACGTCTCCATAAAACAACAGGAAGAATTAGAACAAAATCAAAAGACTGAAAAAAATAAAAAGAAAATGCATGGTATCTTTTATCAAAAACAACTGACCTAGAAAATGGGTCAAGATAAAATTTAAGAAATCATAGGATCCCCTAAAAACCATGACCAAACAAAAAGCCAGCAGGTCACATTTCAAGAAATCACAAAAGAAAACTGCCTACACCTTAGAATCTCAATCTTCTCATCTGTGAGACTCAACGGTCTGGTCCCTTCCAGCTCCGAATCTATGACCTTCTTCCAATGAAATCTGAAAAAGGAACATTTACTCTCCTGCTTCGGTGGCAACTGCTTCAAAGTGAGATCAATGAGCAGCCAAAGATTACACCCTCCCTCCTGCCAACCAACTTAACTACACAGATCACTTGATACTGGGGGCAAGACAGGAGCGCGGATGTTCTGTCTGAGCCACTTTCCTGGAACCGTCTGAACCCAGTCTGGCTGATCAGAGAAAAGCCCCAACATTGGCTGGATCAGTATCAACGGCATGCCTTGTGTACACATGGGCTGACATAACCATCCTGGCCCATATGGGTAGAATTTTGTGATTTACATAGAAATTCCCTGATGATGACGCTCCTGTGAGGGAAGTATTACAAGCATTATTATTCTCATTTCACAGGTATGGAAACAGAGACTCAGAGAGCACATCAGTTATGTGGATGTAACCCCCACGCCTCAGCTCCCATCTCCCTCTGCTCTTTGGGCCCCTCCTGCCATTGGCAAATTTTCCCCAGAAACTCCATTTAGAGGAAGGGCACATATCAGTTATTCTTCGGTACCTCCTTGCCCTCCAAAACCCTTCTTTCTAGTTCCCCTCTTATGCTATGTCTTCCTCTCTTAGAATGTAAGCTCTTTGAAGGCAGGTCTATCTTTCTTATTGCTTGTATTTGTACCCCCAGAATTTAGTATGGTGCCAGGAACACAGTAAGTGCTTAATAAATGCTTGTCAAATGATTGATTTGCACAGAATCATGTAACTACTAGGGGATAAACTGAAGCCAGGTCCTCTTATTCCAAGTCCAATGCCCCTTCCACTACATTACACACACACACTCTGCCTCTGTTGTCTTGGAAAATTAACTCTCTCTTCACCAAAGGAACCATCTGGGTCATCTTTTTCAAAGCCTTTACATTATCCTATTTAGATGCCTCTGATGTCTACTGGACCAGAAGTATCAAAACTCAAAGCCCACAAAACTCCCAAAATGCAATCCAAACCATAAAATGTAACTGGAAAATGCTGAACAAAAAAAAGTTAAAATGCAATACAACACAGATAATGTTGACTTGTGGTTTTCTCAGTCAATATGCAGCCTGCAGGGAGCCTTGACACTATTGTAATAGACAACCATAAGCAAAATTAGGAGGCTGGTGAAATATAATTTTTACTATTTCTTCTCCTCTCGGTGGGTCCAGTGTTTTCCTGCTGCCCCTTGCCTAGGGAAGGCCGTGACCCAGGCCTAACCTCCAGATCTTTCCTTTTCCTCTATCAATACTTAACCTGTCCTATATCCCTTTCTTTCACAGACCATGCTGTTTGTCAGGCTGTAATAAGGAACAAATCTCTGCTCCTGAAGATAATTAGAGTACCTACCTCCTGGGGTTGTTGCGAGGATCAAATGATATAATATTTATAAAAGCATTTGGCACAGTGCCTGGCACAGAGTAGGGGCTATATAAACAATTACTCCTTTCCCTCCTCCCCCCTGACTCCGCTATGCTTGCTCAGTGCTAAGGGGGAGCATTGCTACACCTCCCTAATAAAGGATCACAGAATTATGGCTTTAAACTTGGTAGAGCCTCCAGAAGGCTTCCAATACCCCCATTTCACAGATGAGGAAACTGAAACCCTGACAGTTCCAAGTTACTTATTCAGAGTCGTACAGGGAGTACATGACAGGGCTGGAATTCCTGACCTCAAATCTAGCACTCTTTCCATTATATGTATATATTTTTAGGGGCCTTCTGGAAATAATGCCTTCTGGGACAGTGGAAGAGCATGCGATTTGAAATAGGAAAGGCTTTTTTTACCACCTGTTTTGACTCTAGACAATGTATTAATGAATAATTATTTATTAAGTGCCTACTATGTGCCAAGCATTTGTGCTAGGTGCTGGGGATAAAAGGACAAAGAGTAAAACAATCCCTACTTGCAGTGAGCATACATTTATTTACATTTGTAAACTCTGGGTCTGTTTCCTCATCTGGAAGACGAGGCAGTTGGACTTGATTTCCAAGATCCCTTTCAGCTCTAAAATCCTAGGATCTTCTAATGATGGAAAGCTTAGGTACTCTGCCAGGACATGGGGAAAAGTGCTTTGAGACAGGCTGGGCTTTTGTTGGTCTTTGTACCACACGATCACCAGCCACGCACGCACGCACACCTTCCTCTCTGGGCCAAAGGAAAAAAAAAACACCCTTCAATTTACTAACCAGTCGTGATCAGGTTATCATCGACAGGCAAAAAAGCTTCAGCATCTATACAAACTTCGTGATCATATATATTCGGAGAACCCTGGAAGAAGAAAGAGAAAACGAGAGAAGGTGGTGGAGAAAGGGATTTAACATTTAATCTTGCTTTATATTTGGTTTATAAACTTAGTAGGGGAAATATGACAGTAATCAAGGCCTCACAACATGTGAGGTGATGATCATCTATAATTCACATCACCTTTACATTCCTTTAGTGCTAGAGGGGGCCCATCTTACACTGTGTCCATCCCATAAATAGAGTAACCAACCAGATTAGAAAACGCTTTTCGATACCATCAGCCAACAGAATGAACTTTCCTACCTAGACACAACTATGTTACCAAGAGGTCAGAAACCAGAGTGGTTTTAAAGTATTTCTGACTCTTGATTAGATAAGTCTGTGGCTGAATTTGTTGCCTTTTCTCACAAGCCTGAAAAGCAGGGATCAGAACCAACTATAATATGCCCCAAATATGCCTCGTCAGCACCTTGCAGGCTGGAACGCAATCAGTCATCGAGCATTTACTAAGCACCTATTATATGCTCGTCAAAAAGGACAAAATTAAAACAGGCCTTGCTCTTAAGAAGTTTATATTCTGTTGGAGGAAACAGTACACACACACACACATGTACATAGTTACATATACACACACACATATGTAAAATTCAAAATATATTCACAGCAACCACAAAATACTTAGCAGGGATAGGGTGGGGAACTGTCTCAGGGTGAGGGAGAGGGGGAGGTTAGGGCGTAGAATATGTCACTTGAGTTGAGCCTTGAAGAGGGGTAGAAATTCATAAAGTTGGACCTAAGAAGAATGAGAGGTCTAAGCATGGGGAAAAGCATGGAGACAGGAAGTAGAATGTTGTCTCTGTGTGACAGCAAGCACACCACTTTCACTGAAAGGTAGGAAGGTGTAAAGAGGGATGATGGTATGTAATGAGCCTGGAAGGGCAGGATGGAGACAGACTGTGAAGGGCTTTGAACGCCAAAGAGAGGAGTTTATATTTTGTCCTAAAGAGAATAGAGAGGGGCAGCTAGGTGGCGCAGTGGATAGAATACCACTGGCCCTGAAGTCAGAAGGGCCTGAGTTCAAATCCGGCCTCAGACCAAACACTTGACACTTACTAGCTGTGTGACCCTGGGCAAGTCACTTAACCCAATTGCCTAAAAAAAAGAGAGAGAGAATAGAGAACCTTTGGAGGGCCATCTCCAGTCATCCTGATCCATATCTGGCCACTGGACCCAGATGGCTCCAGAGGAAAAAGTGAGGCTGGTGACTTTACACAGCCCTGCCTCACTTAAATCCAATTCACTTGCATGTCATGGCATCAGTTCCCTGATGTCACTGGTTCTCTTCGAGAATGAAGGACAAACAACAACAGAGAACCATTGAAGTTTCTTGAGCAGGGTGTACCATGATCAGACTTGTGATTTAGGAATAATTTTTGTGTGAAGGAAGAATTAAATGGGAGAAGAAACTTGAGAGAGGGAGACCAGTTAGGAGGCTCTTGCAATAGCCTGGGTCAAAGGTGATAAGAGACTTAACTAGGGTTAGGGCCAGGTGAGGAGAAAGAAGGGGATGGATGCATGAGACGCATCTGGCCTGGTGCTTCTGTATACTGACACAAAGGCAGCACTTTCTAAATGCTCTTTCTTTCATTCATCATTCATTCATTCATTCATTCATTCATTCATTTGCTCATTCATTCATTCATTCATTCACTAACTCACTCATTCATTCATTCACTCACTCCTAAATGCCTGGTGAACCAGGGGTTGCATTGTACTCGGTGAGAGCAGACAGTTCTGGTCAGCGATACCACAACTGAAGCAGTTGTGTTTGTGATCTCATAGAGTGGCATGTGCCCTGCTGGTGTTTATTTCTTTTTTTAAAAAAACTTGGCAAGAAGCATGGCTGCATAAACAGACTTTGACAGGCTGTTATCTCTGGGTTTATGGGTGTTTGATTTGGCTAACCATCCCTAGTCCTGTGCTACTAAACTTTCACTCCTCTTGTATAGGTTCAAATACCATTTTCCCAGTTCCGTCTTAGGGGGATAACCCTGGGATGCAAGGTAAAATGGGGATAATAATAATAGCACCACAATAGAATCATATGGAAGGGCTGGTTTGGGCCTGATTATAGAGGGGCTTGAATGTCAGGTAAATATTATCCACCAGCATATGAGCCAGAATCAGCTGTGAAGTTGGGGGAGAACAAGATGGAGGTGGGGGGAGGGTGCTGGGGAGGGCTAAATGAACCTGCAAAAGGTGGAGGTGTTACAGGGAGTGGGGTGTAGGACGCCCATGAACACAAAAGACCCACAGTGATTTGGGGGTCTTTGCCTCATGTCTTCTGACTCAACCTGACCAAAGGTCTTCTCTAGCACTCAAAAGGGCCTTCTGAGGGACTCTAGCTGCTGAGAAAGCTTTGAGGAAACTGAAAACCCGGCTCAGTGTGGCCTGGCTATTAATAAGCTCAGGCCCATGAAAACCGCTTGTGAGCTCCTCATGGCTTGCAAAGGAAAAAGAAAAAAAGGAATGAAAACAGTTTTTCAAAGACTCTAAAAGCTGTGTGTGGGCTCTTCAGTGGTTCCCACCTGGGTATTATACAAAACTGGGAGAACGTGTTTTATTGAAATTCAATCTGAAGACTTAGGAAAGTAGACCTAGGAACCTTGGAAATGAAAACCCACAACTTAGGTTACAGCATGGGGAAAGCAAGAGGGATGGTGGTGTCAGCCATTTTTATGAAATCCTCACAGCTGGAGACTCCACAACGCAGATGGAAAGGGAAGCAAACTGGGTGGGTGGGGGCACCTGCCTTTTACCTTTTAGCACCCCCCCCTTAACAATTCATGCTGCAATGATCTTATGATTACTAACCCCTTGGGAGTTTTAACAAACTATTATTTTTGGTTTGAGGATAAGAATGATAATAGCTTGCATTTATATTTACAAAGTGTTTTTTAAAATATCTCATTTTATCCTCGTGACAACCCTGGGTGGTAGGGGCTATTACTGTAGCCATTTTATAGATGAGGAAACTGAGGCAAACAGGTTAAGTGATTTGCCAGGGTCACACACCTAGTAAGCACCTGAGGCCAGATTCGAACTCACAGTAGACAAAAGATCCTGGAGCACTGTTAGGCCACTGGGACCCATGGGGAATTATTTTTCAGTAGGTTCAATTTAACAGCCCCCTTTACTCTGTTGATTCTGAAGACTAAATACATTTGGTGAGATTGCTTGCATCTGGATAAGATACAAGTGAGATGTGGAGAAGGGATTATAAAAACTCCACAAAGAGCAGCAATGTGCAAGCATGGGCAAAAGAGATCTCAGAGATCGTAGAAAACCACTGGCAGAATAGAGGTTGCTACTCATCCAGTTTAAAACTATTTCTAGGGGTGGGGCAGCTAGGTGGCGCAGCGAATAGAGCACCGGCCCTGAAGTCAGGAGGACCTGAGTTCAAATCTGCCCTCAGACCAAACACTCGACATTTACTAGCTGTGTGACCCTGGGCAAGTCACTTAATCCCAATTGCCTAAAAACGAAAAAAAAACTATTTCTAATTCTCCTTACATTCTAGCCACACACGTTATGTTAATAATAACAATAACTATAATAATAATTGCCATTTATACAGGGCTTGCAAAACACTTTACCCACATTATTTCAATCGAGCCTCATAACAACTCTGTGAGAAAGGTGCTATTATTATTATCCCCATTTTACAGTGGAGAAAACTGAGGCTGCAAAGAGGTTAGGTGACTTGCCTAGGACTCATGCAGCCAGTAAGTGTGACTGAGATGGAATTTGAACTTGGGTTTTCCCTACTCAAATTCTAGTGATCTATTCACTGTACTACCTGGCTGCCTGTTAACATGTCAATAGGATGGTGAAAGAGGATAAAGAGACATAAAGACAGAGAGACAGACAGACAAGTGATAGAGACACAGAGAAAGAGAGAGGGAGAGAGAAGGAAGAAGAGACAGAGACACACAGACACACACACATACAGGAACAGAGAAGGGGGGAGGGAGAAGGAGAGAGACAGAGACAAGAGATAAAGACAGAGAAAGAGAGAGGGAGGGAGAAGGAAGAAGAGAGAAACACTAATCTGTAAGAAAAATGAACAAAAAGAGTCAAAATGCTCAAGTCCTGACTCGTGACCTACTGTGAGACTTTGAGCAAAGCCCTTCTTTTGGGAATAGCATCTAAATGACCCTTATTTTTCTTACAGTGATGGAACTGTTCCCATGCAAAACTAGTCTACTCTCATATGTATGTTCTAGATAACAGCCAGCACACTGTGGGTGCTCATTCAATATTTAACAACATGAGAAGGAGATTAATTTAAAAAGAAAGAAAGGGCCACTCTTTGGTAAATCATCAGGACATTAAATGGTCATACCCACATGCTCCCCAGAGCTACAGCACATCACGCAGTGGGAGACCACAAAGATGGGCAGGATAACTAAGATAAAAGCAAGAAGGGGCAAGTAATTGACCGGAGCACCGCCCTTAAAAGGAAACAGAGGGTGCCTCCCAACCTAGAAGCAGTTTCCTGCCGGTCTCCTGTAGCAAAAAGTCTATGGTTTTGGGGAAGGGAAGTATGCAAAGGTCAGAGCTGAAGTTAGTATAGACAGAGTATAGCAAGAGTTGATATTTAGAGAGGGCTTTAGGGGCAGCTAGGTGGTGCAGTGGATAGAGCACTGGCTCTGGCTTCTGGAGGACCTGAGTTCAAATTTGGCCTCAGACATAAAACACTTACTAGCTGTACAACCCTGGGCAAGTCACTTAACCCCATTGCCTAGCCAAAAAAAAAAAAAAGATAGGACTTTAAGTATTTCCAAGTGTATGTATGTATGTGTGTGTGTGTGTGTGTGTGTGTGTGTGTATGTAGGTGTGTATGTATGTATATATATATATATGTATATGCACACACACACACACACACGTATTTTTTCATTTGATTCTCACAAGAACCTTGTAAGCTAGGTATTACATATATTGTTATGTTCATTTTACAGGTGAGAACAAACAGCGTCAAAGAGGTTAAATGCCTGGCCCATAGTCCCATGACTAGTAAGTATCAGGGGTGGTTTGAACCCAGGACTCCAAAACAACTCTCTTTATTCACCATGCTGCTTACACAAATGGGCACTTGTAGGTCAGTCCCAAGAGGGAGATGGAAAAGAGAAGCTGGAATTTAGCCAGGGTATGGGAACAGCTAGTGACTAACACGTGGGAAAGAACATTAATCGATCATTCCAATATTCTTCCCCAATCTACATCATGATCATCGGGATTATCATTATCAAACCAATGCCAGGTTGATGCTTTCTCTCCCGTAGGTAGCTAGCTCCTCTGGACCTTAGGCCACCCCCAAAGCATGCATGTAGTTCAAAAGAATGTGCCGACACTTACGTGGCCCGCCAGGTTGAAATATGAGTGGTTGGTCAGACTGACCGGCGTGGTGCTGCTGGTCTGGGCTTTGTAATTCACTATTAACTGCCCCCCATCGAGCGTGTATGTGACCCAAACTTTCAACTGGCCAGGGTAGCCTTCCTCTCCATCTGGACTGATCCGAGAGAACTGAATGCCATTTGGCAGCACTTGAGGGGTCCAAAGGACCTGGAGGAAGATATCATTAGAATAAATCAAAACACAAAGTAAATATCCCATGCAAAACATTCAAGGAAATCTAACCTCAGGAGTATAAAAATGATTACACCAACTCTCTTAATTTTTTTGAGAACAGTGTTTAATTTTTAATCTCTGTTGTTTATTTAATATGGAAAAATTATGAAAAAATAAGACTATTTCTTTTTTTTTCTCCCTGCATATATAACATCTTCTTTCCCTTCTGAACTCGATTAAAAAAAAAAATTCTCAGCTCTCCTATTTTTCTCCTAATGCCTTGCTCACATTCTGGCCTAATACCGAAATAATTGCTTTAACAAATGGTGACTGGAGACTGGTATGGCTATCTTGGGCTTCAGTTTAAAAAAATTAATCCTTCTCTGGGATCCTCCACCAACAGGAGCAGAAAATGAAATCAAGGCTTGTTACATTTTAGAATTGGGAGCCTCTCCACGTTTCAGTTTCCTTATCTATAAAATGATGGAGTGGAGCCAGACTAGAAATCTCGTAATCTAGTTGTAAATCGGATTCTATGGAAACAGTCTTCCTGCAGCTTCCATTGCTTGCTCTATGTTCTGCCTTCTGGGACCAAGAACCAGAAATCAAATTCCTCTTCCTCAGAGCCACTCTTTAAATATTGGAGATAATTATCATGTTTGCCCTAAGCCCCAATCGCCTCTTCTCCAGGTGACTGACTCTGAAGTCAGAGGACCTGTGTTCAAATCCCACCTCTGCCACTAATTACTTGTATGACCTTGGGCGAGTACATTCAATCTCTTTGGGCCTCATTTTCCTCATCTGTAAAATAGGAAGAGGAGAGTGGGGAAGGCTAGATAAGGTGGCCTCTAGACTGGTGTGCTGGTAAATGTTTAACAACCAGCTCTCTATTATCTTTAAAAAAAAAAAAGAAAGGGGGCAGCTAGGTGGCTCAGTGGATAGAGCACCGGCCCTGGATTCAGGAGGACCGGAGTTCAAATCCAGTCTCAGACACATAACACTTACTAGCTGTGTGACCCTGGGCAGGTCACTTAACCCCATTGCCTAGCTAAAAAAAAAAAGAAAGAAAATGTATGTAAGGCACACTTTAAAGTGTGACCTGTCTTATCAGTATTTTCTCTATTGCTTTCTTAAGTCTAGACAATCAACAAAACAAACCAAGTCCTGATCTGTCGTGCTTGCAGCTATGGGAGGTGTAAATGCTCAAACTGAAAATTGAACAATCTACTTAATCAAATCCTCATGTAGCATGAATCACAAAACTCTTCACTACCCTGGCTGCCCTCCTCTGGGTGCTCTTCAGCTCATCCATAACCTTCCAAAAACAGAGCATTCAGAACTGAACATAAAACTCCTTCTGTAGCCTGCCCAAGATAGAGAGTGTGGCTAGGTGGCTCAGTGGGTGAAACTAAGCAGAGGGCCTCAGGAAGACCTGAGTTCAAATCCAGTCTTAGACTTATCAGCTGTGTGACCTTGGGTAAGTGGATCAAATGAGATCATAATTGTAAAGTGCCTGGCACATAGTAGGTGCTATATAATGCCGGCTACTCATTTTATTATCCTTAAGAGTATAACAGGACTGTTGCCACCATTGTCTAGAATGTTAATTCAGTCTCAGATCTCATTAATTTTCTTGGCTCTCAGGTCACATCTCTGATTCAGGCTGAGGCTGCAGTTGACTAAAATACCTACACCTTTTTTTCAGATCAACTGCTGCCTAGCCACAGCTCTTCCATCTTACACCTGTGGGATGGATCGGTGCTAGGGCCCGAGTCTGTTCTGTCACAAGATTTTAGAACACAAGAATACTGGAAAAGATTCATATCCTCAACCACAGGAAAAACAGCTGAAATTTGGAATTAAGTCACAGGCTTTAGGGAAATCAATCTCATATCCAAATCACTAAGTGGAAACCCTGAACTTTAAATAAACTTAAAATATGGGCTCTAACTTAAACATGTGAAGGCTAGGGAAAATAACAGCAACAGCAACAACATATCCATATCACATAATTAAAACAATCAATTACACATATGTATAACTATACAACTTAAATTATATAAGTATATCATTATTCAAATGCTTTCATATTTCCCCCAAATACTCATTTTCCTTATGGCTGTATGTGTTTTTCATAAACTTTAAGATTATGATGACTTTTTAAAGAATGATAAATAAAATGTTTAAGGTAAGATGTTCATGTACGGGTACTCAGCCTTTATTCCATCCAGGAAACAATTTCTAAAAACAAAGAAGAAAGTTTTGTTTTTTTCTGGAAAAAAAATGTTAGCTTCTCTACGTCACAAAACCTTACCATTGCTGTGTATTATTAATTTTGTTGTCTCTATGTTGGCTACAAAAACGTACAGGACATTTCTATGTCCAGGACTACATTCAGCATTTCTGATTCTGATAGGACTCTGAGAAGAACTGGTCTTTCATCAATGTCACAAATAGAAAGATGGTCTCAGAAATGAGCACCCAAGTACTAGTATCCTCTGATTTTTAAATAATCACGAGTAGATGGATGATGATGTCACTTGAGCAATGAATTATGAAAACTGAGAATACATGAATAGAGCTCTGTGCAGAAATCCAGTATGCATTTGTAATAAACTGATCTGAGCCATAATTAATGGGATGCATAATCATCACTGTGGTGCATGGCAACTAAGCATAAATGATAAGCAGGCCACACAAATGACTGTAATTAATATTACTTTTCCACAGACCAACTAAGCATTTGAGAGAGTCAGCTGAGGAAAAGGAATGAACTGGGTGTTTGAGAATGTTGTTGATAGATCCATTGTCCCTCGGGCATTAGGAGCCAGCCAGGAGAGGCTAGGCACTGAGGTACTCCATGTCCAGGTTTAGGGCAGGGCAGCCTTCTCCACTCTGCAGTGGGATTTGCCTTGCCCACTGAGGAAGGAAGGAAGGTCAAGCAAGGCAACTTGAATCTCACAAACAGATGAAGCAGCTGGTAGGAGTGGGTCAAGCAGAGCAATTATTAACATTTCTTTCCAGCCCTGTAAAGGGTTAAGGGAAAGGAAGGTTCACGGTTCCTAGAATTTCCAAATTCTTCATTCCTCTTCTATTTCCTAGGTCGGGCTCTATGTGTGGGAGTAAATGGAATGCTGTGGTTATAGGAAAAACTATCCACTCCTTCCCACCACACTAGTGAAATTTTTACCAATTTTGGTTCATAGGATTATACAACTGGAAGGGATTATATTTTGTTCATAGATTATATTATAATAACCAAATATCATATTTTGTTCACAGATATAGAACTGGAAGAGATCTCAGCAATTACTTAAGACCAACCTCTTTATTTTATAAATGAGGAAACTGAGGCCTAGACTAGTGAAGTGACTTGTCTAAGATCACACAGGAAGTAAGTGGTAATGAGATTCAAACTCAGCTTCTCTGGCTCTAAATCCAGTAGCCTTTATATTGCCCTAGCTTGGGGCAGTGAGGTGGCGTAGTGAATAGAGCACTGGCCCTAGATTCAGGAGGACCCGAGTTCAAATCTGGCCTCAGACATATATATGTGTGTGTGTGTGTGTGTGTGTGTGTGTGTGTGTGTGTACATATATATATATATATATATATATATATATATATATATCCCTAGCTTGTGGGAAGGTTAAGGTCAGGCTATCATTCATACTTTAATATGAAATCATTTGATCAGACTGCTTTTCAAATGCCTGGCTGAAATTCACTGAGAAAATAGCAAATTTTAAGAGAAGTTATAGTTAATTTGGAACATAGGATAGTTAAGGGCAGGCAGGCCTATGAATTTTCATGTATGGGCACACAGCTTCTATTCCCTCTACCAAATAATTTCTAAAAACAAAAAAGAGAAAAGAGTTTTGGTGTTTTTTTTCTGGAAAAAAAAGTTAGCTCCTCTACATCACCAAATTATTACAACCGCTGTGTATTATTGATTTTGTTCTATTGTGGCTACAAACATTTCCAGGACATTTATATGGAAGTTAGGGGGAGAGTAAAGGCTCAAAGATTTCATTTACTTTGCAATTTTGACTATGACCAACCCTCCCTTTTATCCTCCTAAAGAGACATAGCAGCTAGGTAGTACAGTGAATAGAGAGGGGACTGCCCAGGATCACATAGCAAGTGTCTGAGGCTGGATTTGAAACCAAGTCTTCCTGATTTCAGGTCTACCTCTCATTTTATCTACCTCGGGCTTCTCATCCATAAAATGGGGATAATAATAGCATTCCCTCTGAGGGTTGTTTTGAGGATCAAATACGATAATATTTGTAAAGTACTTTGCAAACCTTAAGGCACTATATAAATGCTAGTTATTATTACTGTTGTTATTATTATCTCCAACCTCTTCCTATGATCAGCAGACAAATCCCATCCTTGCACCTTTGTAACCAAGAGAGTAGTCTTCTTCCTCCATCTTCCCTCATATTGTTCATCTTGTGCAGTGAGCAGGCTTTCTGCTAAGATGTTTGAGTCTAGGACTGTGTACAATGAACAAAGGTATGGAGGAAGGGAAGAGGACTGCTAACAATAAGTTCAGTGAGCTGTAAACATAGTTTAGTGAAAACTATCAAGCATTTTCAAGTTTACCTTGTCAAAACCTTTCAGTCCTCCATGTAGACTATTAGGTCCATTGTTGATGGCCAACTTGTATTCTTTCCCCTCTATGGTGAAGGTCCCTTTGGCAATTCGGTTGGCCACTCGTCCAACTACTGCTCCAAAGTATGGATGCTTCTTGAGATACCCTACAAATCAAACAAGATCATTCCTTTAATTTGCTAAAAAGAGGAAGGGTAATAATTCTTTCTACTACTGATTTTTGAAGGATACTGTAAGGCTTATATGGTATGCTGTCAAAGACTATTTATCACGTAAATGTTGGTTAGTTGTATTTTTCAGGATGATAACAACAACAATGAATTATTTTGCAACTTTGCAAAGTAACTTTGAAGCTAAAATGTTTCTACTCCTTGTAGCATAATCCAAGGAGAGGCAACCAGTGGCTCAGCAGACCCCATCTGTCAGTAACTGTGGATGTGGTTAATTTGGGTTTGGTGAGTTGCCCTTTTTCTGTCTCCTTTCATATCTTCGGTGTCAGTTCCTTATTAGTCATTTTTATCACATCTTTTCAAATCCAAAGATCATTCTCCTTTGCAATGAAAAAGCGATTCAGATTAAAACTTGAAAAGCTCTGCTTTTTTTCTGGCATCAGCATCTTTTATCACTGCTACATCCCTGCCAAGCTGCTGTCCTAACCTTGCTTTGAACATCCCTTGTTTGAGCAAATTGATTAAGTGCCCACTCTTTGTGAGCAGTGGTAGGCATTTAGGGTACAAAGATAAGACCCATACTCTGCTCACAAGGAACCTGCCCTCTAATTGGGGTAAAGATGAATACTACTCACTTCTGGAGATGAGTGTGGGCACAAATGATATCGTCAGAAGTAATCAAGTAAGTAAGCATTATCAAGGATTATTAAATCTGAGGCAAGAAAATGAAGACCATCAACACACATAGGTTGTGTTTTCATCGTTGTTTCTCATCAAATTCAAGGACTTCAGGAAGGAGATCCGAGAAGTGAAAAAAGGGCTTTAAAAAAAATGAGGTGTGAGAATATAATTTGGATTTCTATTCTTAAAATACAGGGAAGACCAGAAACCTGGCCAGAGACGAAGTACACCTAAAAAGGGCTGGTAAAAGTATATTTGCTGGGAGTCTTGAAACTATAATAATAATAAAAAAATTTCAAATAGGAAATGAAGAGGGAGAAAATCATTTATGTATATTAATGGAATGAGATACCAAAGAGCAGCTACAACATGGTAGGGAGACTAGTTGTCAGGTCCTCCAGAAATTCACAGGAGACCAAATCTAGAATCACTAATAAAACCCTTGGCCTCAGATATTCTAGACACACATGTACAAAATAAGAGTAACAAAAGCAAAGTGACTTAGAAAGGAGATGAACTGGACACAGGTATTTTTGTGTTATGTTTTGACTCCAAAGACCAACTTAGATTTTTAAAAGATGTGTACAAAATATGGAGGCGAGGGCAGGTAACAGCAGATGAATATGTAAGTGTGGTGCAATCTGGTAAAAATGGTGTCAGGAGTCCTAAAGCTCCAATTGGGACTAGCACAGTACCTGGTACATATTTAGGTACTTAATAAATGTTTATTGGTTGATTATTGAAATTGAGCTGAAGAAAGCTAACAAAAGGGGGTCTTGGTGGTTTATTTGAACAGTAATAGGGGAAAAAAAACCAAAGGATGTTCAAAGCAAGATTAGGACAGTAGCTTGGCAGGGATATAACAGTGATAAAAGATGCTGATGCCAGAAGAAAAGCAGAGCTTTTCAACTCTTAATCTGAATCTCTTTTTCACTGCAAAGGAGAATGATCTGTGGATTTGAAGAGATGTAATAAAAATGGCTAATAAGGAACTGACACCGAAGGTATGAAGGGAGACAGAAAAAGTTCAATTCATCAGACCCAAATTAGCCACATCCATGGGTACTGACAGATAGGGTCTGCTGAGCCACTCATCATCAGGGACCCTTGAGAGGTCATGGTTAATGGCAGACAATACAGAAGTGAAAAAGGAGAACTTAAAAAAAAGATTTTCCAAAAAGGGAAGACGAATAGAGTTTGCAGACTGTTAGCCAATGAGTTTGACTTTCATTCCTGAAAAAATTGTGCAGTGTATGATCAGAAGGATGATTAGTGCACCTCTAGAAAAGGAAGCTATAATCACAAAGAATCTGCATGGGTTCATCAATAACAGGCTATATACCAAAAGAAATTTTTTTTTTGCAAAGAGGCCATGTTGGTAGATCAGGAAAGTACAGTAGATTGATATACGTTACCAAGAAGTCACTTTCCTAGGGTCACATAGGTAGGAAGCAGCAACAGCTGCGATTCAAACCCAAGCCTTCTGACTCCCATCTCTAACGCCATAGCGGTTTCCCAAAATACAATAACTGGGGCAGCTGGGTGGCACAGTGGATACAGCACCGGCCCTGAAGTCAGGAGGACCTGAGTTCAAATCCGACCTCAGACCAAACACTTGACACCTACTAGCTGTGTGACCCTGGGCAAGTCACTTAACCCCAATTGCCTAGATAAAAAAAACAACCAAAATCAATAACTGACATTTATATCATACTTCAAGTTTGGAAAGTGCTTTCCTCACAACCTCCTGACAAGTCAAAAGTTCAGTTATGCTCATGTTACAAATTAACTGAATATCAGTTGTTATTTAGTCTTTTTTAAGTTGTGTCCAACTCTTCATGACCCCATTTGGGGTTTTCTTGGCAAAGATACTGCAGTGGTTTGCCATTTCCTTCTCCAGCTCATTTTACAGTTGAGGAAACTGAGGCTTAAGTGACAGGGTTAAGTGATTTGTCCAAGGTCACATAACTAATAAGTGTCTGAGATAGGATTTGAACTCAGGAAGGAGTCTTCCTGACTTCAGGCCTGTCACTCTATTCACTTCATCACCTAGCTGTCTCTACCTTTTATTTGTTGGCAGCTAGATGGTACAGTAGATGGAATACTAGACTTGGGGTCATGAACATTTGAATTCCAATCCTAACTCGGACACTTAACTATTTGTGTAACCCTAGGCAAGTAACTAGACTTCTTAGAGTAATTTTCCTCATCTATAAAATGGGGATGTTAGCACTTATCTTAGGGTTCTCTATGAGAACTGAGACAACACATGTAAAAGCTCTTTTAAACCTTAAAGAACAATATAAATGGTAGCTATAATCATTGCTTTGTTTTTTATACCTATTCAGGGTATCCCAAAAACCTTAATGCAGTTTTAAACTATACATCCATACAGGGTATATATAGATGTACAGCCTAAGACTTTTGGAATATCCTGTATATATACAAGCTATCTCCCTTGATAAACTTGAGGGCAAGGACTTTCTCTTGTGTCCCCCATGCTTAGCAAAGTACCTGGTACACAGTAGGCGCTCAACACTCACAGGACTAGGTGTGCCAGTTGATGCAAAAATATAAGACTTTTACCTTGAAATAAAAATGTTATCCTACTATCTCTATTTTCTTTTCCTTGTGGGTAAAAAAAAAAATGCAGTGTTAGGTGACAGTTTGGCTCTTCAGGGTGGTCTTAAAACTCAGTATCATAGGGGCAGCTAGGTGGTGCAGTGGATAGAGTGTCCAGCATCAGGTGTCAGAGGGACCTGAGTTCAAATCTGTACTCAGACCAGACACTTGACATTTACTAGCTGGGTGACCCTGGTTAAGTCACTTAACCCTAACTGCCTTGCCAAAAAACAAAACAAAAACAAAAAAAGCCAGTACTGTTGTTGATCAACAACTGATAGAAGTAAATTCTAGTTTGTCACCCCAAACTCTCGTGCTCTTCCTACCACTCTCCTGGCTTCTCAAAGTAGTAGGCCCTCCCCCAGATACTTCTCCAAAGGAAGTAAAAAAGCATTCGCTCCAGAATAAAAAGGTATTTGAAATAGGATGGGGTATTAACCTGCCCCTTTTAAACTCTGATCACAGGCATGTTATTTTTGATGATCTGGCAGGCCAAGCTGCCTTACCTTAGTTTATCTTTTATGCTTTTCCCTTGTTTTCTTAAATACAAAAGTATGTAGGGTGAAAAAATTGCTTTAAAAGAGGCATCACTACCTGTTTCTGACACCTCTCTTGAAAGGAATTTTATTCTTTAGATGTGACTATTTCATCTGAAAAAGGAGGGAAAAAAAGCAGTAATAGGTTGCCTGTCTAGCAGAAAGAGCAGTCCTTGTGATGAAGTCAGGAGACAGATGGGTTCAAGTTTTCCATCGCTCACTAGTCATTCAAGTTGGGGCAATCCATTTAACTTCTCTGGGGCTCAGTTCCAGAAAGGATTGATGTAAAATACAATGAAGGCTGCAATAGGTATTAAGAATGGTATTCAATCCACGATTCCAATCCTCACTAGTTCTAGTATGACCCTGGGCAATGATTTCATTTTTCTAGGCCCTGCTTTCATAAATGAGGCTAATATTATCCATACTACCTAAACTATCAATCTCTATAGAAAAGTGAACTATGATTGTTATCTGTGAAAACAAGAATGCTGGGCCTAGATGATCTCCTAGGTCTTGTTTAGCTTTAGCATTTTTTGACTCTGGAGGGCTTCTCCTGGCTGGGAGTGAAGGGGGGTAGGGAAAGGGAGACAGCAGAGCTGAATCATGTACAAGATTAACAATCAATCACTTATCAAAAAACCTACAAGCATTTATTAATCACCTATGATATGTTAGGCCCCAGAAATACAAATATGAAAAACAAAAGTCCCTGCTCTAGAGGGCTTAAAATCATTCAACCATTCCAGAGAAAAAACATAACCCCAGTGGGGGTGGCTGGCATATGGTTCAATCTATTACCTAAGTTGGGCAAAAGTCAAAGACTGCAAAAAAGTGGCCAATCCAGAGGGGTGTGTAGTAGGCAAAAGGGCGTGAACTGACTCCTCCAACAAAAAAGAGGGGAGGAGGTGAAGGTCTGCAAAGCTGGGTAGGTTCCTTTAAACACCTAGAGGAGGGGATGTGAAACAGCTAGGGTCTCATGCCAGTTATAAATGGGAGACAGTAACCTTTTTCCCAACAAGTGCTGGCTGTCCTTGCTCTCTCCGTTATTAGTCATTCTCATCTGGGCAATTCACATAACTTCTCCGGGGCTCAGTTCCTGAGAAGATTGCTGCATAGGACAACAAGGACCAGATCTAGTATTCCATCCATGACTCCAATCCTTACCAATTCTAGTGGGACTCTGGGCAATGATTTCATCTTTCTGGGCTTTGCTTTACTCTTCCATAAGGTGAAAATAAATGAGGATAATAGTAACCATACCACCAGAACCACAAATCTTCATATTTTATTCAGCTGTGCCACCCTTCCCCCAAGCAGCTGAGAGTCCTGACAGTCTATATACTTAGGACGTATTTCACATATAAAACAGCTGCCATCCCCTTCATCTGCATGAGCTCTACAGAGTTCAGTCTGGTCATTAAAAACCAACTGCTCCCAATTTCCTCTGGGAAAATCCCTTCACAGACCAGTCTGAACAAAGGGGATTTGTACTACAATGAAATATGTGGCCAAACATGACACGTTAAGAAAGAAACCCAAGTACTGTGAGTACCTGGGACTTGCTTACATGGCCTATGAGAAACCATGATGGTGATGGAGAGGGGAGCCAGTTTTCAAAATGCAAAAAGCAGCAAAATTATTTCACATAAGACTTTGCTGACATTTTTCTAGGCTGTTAACTAAAAGAACATTTGGATTACCTCCTCAGCATGCTATAGAGGACAGATCTCATTTTCCTGGAGACATCTGAAACAGTCTGACCTCATCTGTCACCTCAAGACATCTGAGCAGCTTATTTCATCTATCTGTGAAATTGGGAGATAGCTCACATTCAGTCTAAAGGGGCTGTGAGTCAGGGGATTAGACATTCTCAGCTGTTCCCTATGGTGCACAAAAGCAAGCTTGAGGATTTTATTATCTCAAGGTAACCATTTCCTCCTCTGTCCAGTCTTTACTACTGAAACTTGCTTACTACAGGTTATTAATAAACTAGAATTCAGCAATAGAATAGCAGAGTTCATTAATGCAATTCCTGTTAACAGCTGGCCATGGTGGCTGTTACCAAGAATTAGCCAGCCCCTACTATTTCAGGCAAGACTCTGAATAGAAAGACCACATCATAAAAGAGAAACAGGAATCCACTTATAACCCAAGAGGAGTGCTGAATGTGTCTGTCAGAGAACTGATATTCAGGGGGCTTGGTTTTCAAACTCCACTCCTTTAAACGTAGTTCCCCTCCTCCCACCTCCCCACTTCACTATCAGCCTTTACGGAAAAAGGAAATTAAATTACTATACTATATTAAAGTATACAGTTTAATATTTTTAAAGCCATGTCAATAACAACCTAGCACCTAGATAAATATTTTAAATACCATGACTCAATACTGAACAATTCTTTCAAGAGGAAAAATTTCCCCATGAACTCTCAGAATGGAAAGTTTCCACAGACTACTAGGTCTGGACTGTTACAATGTAAAAATCTGGTTTAATTCCTTTTTCCTTCTTATATAATTTCCAGTAATCTTTTCTTCTATTGAGATCCCCAAGGGTCAGCAGGATAACAAGAGATGCTCACCATAGGACGTCAAAGAGCTGGGAGAGACCTCCAGTATCACCTGGGTTCTACCCCCTTGGTTTTGACAGATTAGGAAGCTGAAGCTGCGACTCCAAGAAGTAGGCTTGCTTTCAGCTACCCCTCCCCCCAACACACACATAAGCCCATTATGCATGTCTAAGACACTTTTTGGCTTTGAGTTACACATGGCTCAAATTACACAAACACAGGGAAGCTAAGTGTCACAATGGATAAAGTGCTCCACTTGGAACAAGATCCGAGTTAAATCCAGCCTCAGACACCTACTGGCTGTGCAAACTTGGGCAAGTCATTTGACCTTTTTCTGCCTCAGTTTCCCCATCTGTAAAATAGGGATAATACTAGTACCTATCTTCCCAGGGTTGTTGAGCGGAACAAATGAAATAATATTCGTAAAGCACTCAGCAAACCTGAAAGTGCTAAAATAATCAAATAATTAGGAAATTAGGCAATGGTGGGAATGGGTAGATAAACCATATGACAACCTTATTCAAATTAGTTAATGGTGCAGAACAGAAATAATGGTAGAGGAAATCACCTCTCTTTGTACCACTGGAGTCTGGAGATGTCTTCTGACTCCATCAGCTGTGTTTTGCACTAGTCACTTAACCTTTTTGTGGTTAAGAAGGTGACCCAGTTTGCAAACTGTTGGTCACACTAGGGACTTGGAGAGGGAAGAGGAGAGGGAGAGGGGGAAGAGGAGGGAGAGGAAAGGGGAGGAAGAGAGGGAGAAAGGCAGAGAAGGAGAGGGAAAGATGGAGAGGGAGAGAAAGGGAGGTAGAGAGAAAGGAGGGGAAGAGAGAGAGAGAGAGAGAGAGAGAGAGAGAGAGAGAGAGAGAGAGAGAGAGAGAGAGAGAGAGAGAGAGAGAGAGAGAGATTTGCAAAATGTCTTCAAGCCCTTGGGTAAAAAGTATTTTTTTTTCTGCTTCTGTAGGAAGCAAAACCCAATCAATTAACAGATTTTCCCTAACCTCACCACCACCACTCATTAGAACCCTTGGGGAAAACCCAGGGGTAGATGGGGGTAAGGGGAAGATTTTGCCACCTCTGTACATTTTCCTCCCAGGGAACTTAAATGAAATGACTAAATGCAGTAATTCACCATGAAGGAATTTACCTCTTGTAAAGAATAAGTCAGTACAAAAGCAAACCATGGAACATAACAGGAGACAGGAAAACCACAGAGTACCAGGGTATTCGTTTCATAAGAGATTGAAAGGCAACATCAATATCCTCGGCTCCTGAATTGAGGAAGGGGTTGGGAAGTTTGTGCAGGAATTATAGCTCTAGAGTAGCTCTAGGCTACCTCTTCCAGCTCTCTCATGACAGACGAGGGAACAGAGGGAACAGAGGCAGAGACGTTGGATGCCACGCCCAGCCAAGGTCACACAAGTAATAAGCGTCAGAGGCAGGATTTGAGGACACCCCAAAGGAAGCTGGGACTTACCACCCAACAACAATTTAAGATTCCAGAGCCTCTTTCCAGTGAGCTATTAAGAGCTTTTTATAATAATAATAGTAATCATCGCTAACATTTACATATCACTGCCTAGATGCAAAGTGCTTTACAATTATTATGGCATTTGACCCTCATATCTGAGAGGCAGGTGCTATTATTATATCCATTTTATAGATAAGGAAACTAAGGCACACACAAGTTGAGTGACTTGCACAGGGTCACACAGCTACTAAAGTATCTGAGGTCATTTTTTGAACTCAAGATCTTACCAATAATCAGATCTTTACTTTTTTGGGGGGATTTGGGGTGGAAAGAAAGTTCTTAAGTTTAAAAAAAATCCATACAAGCAGGCTTTTAAAAAGATAAATCTCAAACCTGGTGGATGGCTTATGTCCCATTACCCACTGAGAAAGTTGAATTCATTCATTCTCAAGGGTCTCTCCCCTCCCCCCATCCACTTTGCCCTGTTAACCCACCACCCCACTATGCAACTGGCTTCCTGGAGCACAAAGCAAAAAGAGATTTCCAAAGAAAAAAAAAAGGGGGCAGTCTAACTCAAGTGCCAGAGTTCCAGCCAAGATGGTACTTTGGAGTCATGGGCTAGGAGGCCACTAGAATAAATTATGTGGGATGCCCAGTTCTTGCAGAAAAACTAGTAAAGGGAAAAAAAAAAGCTTGGAATCAGGAGGACCTGAGTTCAAATCCTGCCTCAGACACTTGAAACTTACTAGCTGTGTGACTGAGCAAATTATTTAACCCCAATTGCCTCACCAAAAAGCAAAAAAAAAAAAGCAACCCCCCCCCCCCCGGTCATTCTTTCCCTTGTGCATGAGGGAACCACAATCCCCCTAAGTCAGTTTCTCCTAGCTGGAGTCCCTTCCAGAGTAGAACTTTCTTTCAGTGTTAAAACAGTTCAAAGACCACTTTCATGTTCGTTTTTGTTGGCGTTTTTTTTTTTAAAGCCCAACTCACCTTCAATGGACTCTGGACCAGTTAAGTGAGGTGAATGGGTAACTAGAAAGCTAAGCCCATATTCATGTTCCTCTAGCAAGTGTTTCCCAAACCCAAGAGAAATTACCATTTGTTAGCCAAACGTACCCAAGATTAGGTTGAATATCCAGACCCAGAATAAAGGGATGGAACCCACCCTGACTCTTTCCCCTAAGGGGTAGTGGTCAAAATAGGGACTTGTGGGTCAAGAAACCCTGGGTTCCATTCCTACTTCCAACCCTTACCGGCTGTGTGACCCTGGACTAGTCCTTTGAACTCTCTAGGCCTGATTCCTCGTCTGTATAATACAAGAGGGGGGGAGGGGGGAAAGGTGGACTTCAGGGACTCTGGGGTCCCTTCCAGCTGTCCCATCTCTGACTGTATGCTACTCCAGTGCAGTCCGACCCACCTTCTAGCTCGGCAAAGCCCAGCACCACATCTGAGAATTTCCCATCCCTGTCTTTGACCTCCAGTGCGGTGATAGTGCAGCCCAGGGAGATAATCTCCATTCTCAGCTGGTCTGATTGTAGATGGAACTTCTCTACAGTCCCTGCTCCACCGGGGAGATCCCCAAACACACTTCTGGTCACCGAAGCCATGGGCGAAAGGGAAAGGAAAACAACCAGCAAGCCCACACCACCGAGCTGCAGCCCAGGTACCAGGAACACCTAGGAGTAGAAACCACACACCGGGAGCGGGGCCGAGGTTACTTTAGAAAAGAGAAGTTAAACTCCTCCTCCCGCCCGCCCTATCTCCGGGATAGGAAGGCCAGCCCTCAGATCGCTTAATCCGGCCCGCTCCTAGATTTAGGGTTACTTTGCAGGAAAAAGACCAACCCAGCACGTGCTTTCCTTCTTTTTCCGCAACTTTTCTTGCATTGCATTTTGGGAGTGGTAGTCTTCGAAAGGCGAGGCTGCTTTCTGGGAGTAGGCTAAAGAACGGGGATTTTTTCCCCTAGTTAAAAATTTTCCATAGCTCTAAACTGTTAACCTGGGAGGGTGGAGCCCTCCTGTAAGAGAGTGAGCCGTGTACTTTGGACGCTCTACATCCAGGCTGTTTGTCAAGTGATTGAAGAACACGGGTCACGTAATTGGGGAAGAGAAGACTAAATCTTGAGAAAAATCCCTAATCAGAGCAATCCTAGTTTAACGGGTGGAGAGAAACCACCCTCGTGCGGGGCAGGGCGTTCATCTCCACCAATAAGGAGAGATTCCCGTAGATATTATAGGAATCTTAACCTAGGGTCCTTGAACTTTTTCATTGATAACTAATGACGTTTTAATAATAGCTATTTCCATATAATTGGTTTCCATTGTTTATAGCATGGATTTTATTTTAGGTATTTGAAAACAATGATAACGAGCAACATTCTATAGTTCTTACTATGTGCTGAGTACTGTGCTAAGCGGTTCACGATTACTATCTTATAGGATCCTCACTACATCCCAGAGAGGTTCAAAGTGCTGTTAACGATTACCCAATTATCATCTCATTCAATCCGGGGAGGTGCTAAGCCCTTTACAAAGATCAGCTACTTCAATTTGGAGACATGCTAATCAATTTTACAATTATCATCTCATTCAACCCCTGGAGTTGCTAAGCGCTGGAAGATGATTATCCCTTCCGACCCTCTCTACTAGGAGGTTCTATTATCATCTACGATTTACCGTCGAGGAAACTGAGGCAAGCAGGTTAAGTGACTTGCCCAGAGTTACATAGCTAGTAGGTGTCTGAGAATGCGTTTGAACTCGGGTCTTTCAGACTCCTCCGGAGCTCTGTCCACTTGGTCTCCTCGCTGCCCCTGTCAAGATCCACAGACTTCACTAGATTGTCGGAGAGGTGCATAGCAGTCGGGAAAATGTTGAGAAGCTTCCATTAGGTGCTACAGGAATTCAGTGAAGAGAGCGTTCCCGGTGGGGTAGGTCACCGTAAATAGCGGGGATGGTTTCTAAAGTTCTTGAGCATCAGAAGAGATTGTTGAAGAGGCAGTATATATAAATGTTAGGGGTTATTAATATTTCTTCCTAAGAGCCTTTTGTTTTTAAGCAATAGTAACCATGGAAGAATTGAACCAAGAGCTGCTGCAGCAATCTTCCTAAAGAACAAGTCTACTTATGTTCTTCCCTTGCTCAGACTTCTGAGGGCCCTATTTCCCTCTGCGACAGAATAGAATCTCCTATCTTTGGCGTTTAAAGCCCTTTGCAAATTGTCTCCAACCTGCCCTTCCTCGCCTAAATCACATGCCCCACAATCCTGACAAACTGACCTGCTTGCCCATCCTGCTGCTGTGATGTGGAGCAGGTTGTTTTTCCACGTCTGGAATACACTAAGTAATGTATTGGATGTATGGATGGACCTGGAGTCAGGAAGGCCTGAGTTCAAATCCAGCGTCAGAGATATAGTAGCTATATGAGTCTAGGCAAGCAAATATGTTTGCCTCAGTTCCCTCCTTTCTAATGTGGAGATAATAATAGCATTCACCTCCCAGAGTTGTTGTAAGGATCAAATGAGATAATATTTGTAAAACAAATCTTAAGGTGCTATGTAAATGCTAGCTATTATTATTATGTATTCCTTTATTTTTATTTGTTTTTATTTATTTTATGCATTTTATTATTATGTACTTTCCACATTTATAAATCTTGCTTCCTTTCAATATTCAGTTTAGGTGCCACCTTCCGTGAGAATCTTTTCCTCATGTCCCCCAGCTGTTAGTTCTGTCTTCCTCCTCAAGGGATCATTCATACGTGGAGTTAGAGAACCTAGGTTTGAGTACTGCCTTGCATACTTACTGGGTATGTGATCTTGGGAAAGTTAACCTTAATAAGCTTTGGTGTCCCCCAAGGCTCTATCTTGGGTTGGACTCTCTTCTCTTCTCTTGAGATACTATCTTGCCTGATGATCTCCTCTGTTCTCTAGGATTCAATTATCATAACTATACAGATGAGTCTCAGATTTGTTTATTCCTAACATCTTTCCAGACCTCCAGTCTCACACTGGAGATCTTAAACTGGATGTCACAAAGGCATCTTCAAATTAACATTTCCAAAACTATCCTTCCCTTCCACCAAAGCCTTCTCTTTTACTAACTTTCTATCCCTTTCAGGCAAGGATACTACCATCCTCCCAAGTCACCCAAGCTCAAAACCTCCCTCTCTTTCCCTCCACATCCAGTCTATTGCCAAAGGCCTCCCTTCTGCAAGAAGCCTTCCCCAGTCCTCCTTAATCATAGTGCCTTCCCTCTGAGATTACCTATTTATCCTGCACATATTTAGTTTGGACACAGTTGTTTGCATATTGTCACTCCTTTGCCAACATCCCCTCCCCGAATTGGACTGTGAGCTCCTTGAGAGCAAGGACTGTTTTTTGCTTTTCTTCATATTTCCAGCATTTTGCACAACACCTAGCACACAGTAAACATTTGATAAAAAGCTATTTGAGTGACTAGTTAATTAGACAGCTGTGTGACACAGCACATAGAAGACTGGGCCTAGAGTCTTCTATCATTTCAAAGACACATACCGGCTGTGTGACTCTGGGCAAGTCACTTAACTTCTCTTTGCCTCAGTTTCATCAGCTGTAAAATGGGGATAATAACAGCACTACCTTTCAGGGTTGTTGTGAGAATTAAAGATTATAATTGTAAAATACTTAGCCCAGTGCCCAGTACACAGTAGGTAATTTCTAAGTGCTTATTCCTTTCCCTTCCCCCCTGAGAAATTATAAAATAAGAGGATTGACCAGATGACTCTTAAGAGTCCTTTTACTTCTAAATCTGTTTCCAAGATCCTTGATGTTAGGCACTGTGTCTTAAATCTTATATTCTCTTCTTGATGACCGGGGACAGCATCTTGCACTTTTTTTTGTCTTGTTTTGGGATTTTGCTAGTGTAAGGACAATTCATCGGTAATTTATCATTTCATAGAGTTGCCTAGAGGCATTGAGAGGTGCATCTTCAATCTTGCATTTATTAAGAACCAGGGGAAACAGACAAAATCAATTAATGCCTTAAAAAATTTACATTGTAAAGCTAGAGAGAAAAAGCACACTAATCAGTGGGTTGCTTGTTGATTTATTAAGTATGTTATCCTTGGACTACAAAGAAAAGTCCCTGCCCTCTGGGAGTTTACTTTTCATTGCTAGTGAACACAAAGCCCGAGCTGTCTTTGATGGGGGAAGGACTGACGCTGAGGGAACCAGAAAGGCCTCCTGATGTCAAAGAAGCTAGAGAAAGCTCAAGGCAAGAGTGGGAGAGAGAATACATTTCAGTCTTGAAGTGCACAGGCACAAAAATGAGAGCTGGAGGGTCACATGTGAGAAATATTCGAATTGTAGAGTATGTGGAGAATAACTGTATATTAAGACCAAAAGGGTCGGGCAGGGGCACGATGTTGGGAAATAGGTAAAAACAAAAGCTATCAATAAAAATACTCCCCTCTGTTGATCATATTCTATTTGTCCTGCTTAAAGCTTGTTTGTAAAAAGTTGTTGGTATGTCTCCTCCATTAGATTGTGAGCTCCTTGAGGGCAGAGACTGTCTTTTACCTTCTTGAATCCCCAGTGCTTAGCACAGGTCCTGGCACATAGTAGGTGCTTGTTGTCGGTCATTTCAGTCATGTACAAGTCTTCCTGACTCCATTTTGGGGGTTTCTTGACAAAGACACAGAAAGGGTTTGCCATTCCCTTCTCCAGCTCATTTTACAGATGAGAAACTGAGGCAAACAGGGTTCAGTGACTTGCCCAGGGTCACACAGTTAGTAAAAGCATCTGAGTCTGGATTTGAACTCATGAAGATGACTCTTCCTGACTCCAGGCCTGGGACTCTATTCACTGTGCTACTTAGGTGCTTAGTAAATTAAATGTTTATTGACTGACTGACTAACAAGGGTGGCCAGGAAACACCTCAAGTAGAAGTTGGTGCTGGAAATTGGGAGAGCAAGGAATAGTTTACCTGCCATATCTATGGAGAAGGGAAGAATTTGTAACCAAAAAAGAGATAGAGATCATTACTAGATATAAAATGGACAGTTTTGATTATATTAAATTGAAAAGGTTTTGCACAAACAAAACAAGGTAACCAAGATGAAAAAGAAAGTAGAAAGCTGAGAAACAATTTTTACAGCAAGCGACCCTGATAAGGGCCCCATTTCTCAAATATATGGGGAACTGAGTCAAATTAATAAGAATGCAGGTCATTCACCAATTGACAGATGGTCAAAGAATATGAACAGGCAGTTTTCAGATGAAGAAATCAAAGCTATCTATAGTTATAATGTTGAGGTTTAGGGGTTTAAGGGTGCTGGGACCCCAAAATATCGACAGCAAGAGACATAGGCCCTTCCTTCCTGAATTTGACCCAAGACTTCTTTCAGCCAAAGACAAGGTTTATTAAAGATCTGCCATCTTGGCCACACTCTTAAGGAATATAAGTGTTTATATTGCTAATGCAAGTAAGCCAGATTTTAGGAATCTGAGCCCCTTAATGGAGACAAGATGAATCTTATATACAGAAAGACTGTGGGAGGGATCCTGGAGTGGCCAAGTAGTCTGGGGTGACTGGAGGAAGGGTCTAAGGAGGATCTGGATGGGAGTGGCCAGGAAACTGGGATGAACAGAGCGCTAGGGATCTGGACCACAAGTCGGAGGGAAAGTGGAGACTAGGTAGGATTAAGGGTGGGAAGTGGCCAGGGGCAATTGGGAGGTTGCAGAACAGAACTGAGAGATTGGGCATAGCCACAAAGAAAAGTCAGTTGAGTGGATGACAGCTTTAGTCAAATGCCCGAGATCAGAAAAAAATCCAGGGATTTTCTTTTTTGGGGTCCA